TCATCTTTAGTTCCTTTGTCCAAACTAGTTGAGATTAGTAGAATGAGGCATTTGGTTTGAAGAAAATCAATTACATTTTGTAGAACTTGACTGACTGGAAAGTGATTCTAATGTTTGATTTCTCATCTGACCAAGGAAAGCAAGTAATCAAAAGCAATACGCAGACTTATGTTATCTATATATGTATATTCCATGTAACTAAAAAAACAATGCATATCACAATTATACACACCCAAATACACACTATCCCCCGCCAGTACACCCTGCTCATGAGTCTGATTGGCTTGAACCGTGATGTCCTGTATCCTCTCCATGTTTCATCCCGGGAATCATGCAAAAATGTCAATGCTAATTTTGTTTCTTCCCGGGAAATTTCCTGCATGTATTTTGTATTTATTTTCTACACCGTGACTTGTAACGCAAGTAATGAGTTATTATCAATTTTTCATATTTTTGCATGTTACTCTATGCAGGGATACATTAATGAATATTGCTAAGCATTATGAAACAGAAGAGTCTCTTCCTGAAGACATATACAAGAAACTCCTTGCTGCTAGGACTTTCCGTGCTGGATCCCTTAGTCTCCGTCAGGTGAGTACAGAGTACTTGTTGCTGGCTTTTGCTCTCTCTCTCTCTCTCAAACTGTAGAATTTAGTGACTACAGCCTTCTCTGTTTGAACAAAAGAGGAGAATATATGCGTTCTGGATGTTCCATTTTAATTAGCAAAACAGAAACCCTTAGTGAGCTTCTTCAGATTGAGTGTTTGCTAATAAGAAGCTTAAATGTTTTTTATTTTTCAGTTAAGATTTGCAACAGTGGATCTAGACTTACATTCGAAATACATCCCAGGCGGTTCAGAGTCGATATTCGATGTTGACCAACGGGTCTCGAAGAAGACGCAAGTGCTCCCTCCTCTACCAGATGATAGGTTCCTTTGTAGTTTCAGCCACATCTTCAGCGGTGGATATGCTGCTGGGTACTACAGTTACAAGGTTCTTTTGCTTACCTTGATTCGTACTTTATTAAGTTGATAGCCAATATTTTCCATGGCACTTGATTACACTGACTTTTTCAGTAACTTTGTTATTTGATGGACTATTTGCTATTCACTTGCTTTACTCGCACAAAAGATTCTGGTTTTTCTTTTTGGTCTCTGTGGGTTCTAGTTTCATGGCTTTGATTAATGCTTCTTGTTGTTTTGATTACCTCCAGTGGCTTGGAAACTTTGTTTTGCTTTGATCATGTATCAATTCATGTTAGCCGACCCCGATATCTTTTGGGATTAAGGCTTGGTTGTTGTTGTTTTGATTACAAAAGGTCCTTTGTTGTTTTCTGTTGATATATATTCATTAATTGTTACACGAGATGTGGTCTAATTACGGGGTAATAATGGGTTATGCAGTGGGCAGAGGTTTTGTCTGCTGATGCTTTCTCTGCATTCGAGGATGATGGACTAGAAAATGAAAAGGTAAAAGAAATGCATTTCCTTTTCTCTCTCAGTGGTGTGGTCCTCTCTCTACAAGGAATAAGCTCATTTTGTGCCTCATTATTTATATATTGACTATTAATATTTTCATTGATTGATGATTGGTATATAGGCGGTCCAAGAAACAGGAAGAAGATTCCGGGAAACTGTGCTGGCACTTGGAGGTGGCAAAGATCCACTGGAGGTAGAAATGAGACAAAAAGTCTCTATATTCTTAATGATGATCATTGATTACTATGTATAGGACTTTCATCCTCTCACGTTGTTTGTATGTTTTTTTCTCCAGGTTTTTGTTAAATTCAGAGGACGAGAACCTTCCCCAGAGCCACTTCTCAGGCACAATGGCCTCTTACCAGCTGCTGCAGTTGCATAAAAATGGATACACGGGCCTTCTAACCTGCCATGAAAGGCGAGCGGCCTCTTCAAGGTCTCCAGCTCTTGAGGATTAGCTGGATTTTCCCCTTATTTAGTTCATGGTAGTTGAATATGTAGAGCCTAATGTTATGCACATTGTCGGACTCCTTTTTGGTACATGGGAAGGAACTCAAGTGAAGGACTTGGAGAAAATGAACAGAACGATGTTTTCATTCTTCAGAATTTTCTCATACATAAACGAATAACTGAAATTAAGGATGGACCCAGTCGGCAGTCCCAGACCTGAACTAGGCCCACCACTGTGTGGGACCAAACCGGGTCTAATATTCCGGTCCTGGGCTTGGACCGGGTACCTGACTGGGTGGGAGATGGTCTTGGGTAGGGGTTTTTGGACCAGACCGGGTGGTCCCAGTTCCGCGCCCAACAAACATTTTTTTCAAATTCTAGGTGGGAAACCGGGTCCGAACCGGCCTGGGGCCGGCCAACCTAACAGGAACAGAACTGGGTACCATGCTACTTCGGGTCGATTCCAGTCTCTAGTTTGGGGAACCGGAACTGGCCGGTCTGGGACGGGAACCGGGTCCACCCCTAACTTAAATGCATATAAAAATGTGGACTGAAAGCATTTTCCAGATAATTGATTTAAAGCATTGATTAACTTCTCTCTATTTTCTTCACCAATTGAAGCTCGCGGGCTCGCTGCGGTAGGGGTGCCCGGTTCTGGTCGAACCAGCCCGGGAACCGGACCAGCCCGGCACTATGCGGGATTGGCCCGGCTCGGGGGTATGTTCAGTGCAGTTTCGGGGTTGCACCTCCTTTGGCTCACACACAAAAAGTCTGGTTTTGACCGGCCTAGAGCTTGGCTCGGCTCGGAACCGGTCCATGCCTACGCCGCTGCTAGAGTAGGCACAGAAATAGCTTGAAACTCAGATGATTGATTTTTCTGCATTGGTACTCAACTTTAACTAGTGATAGCGTTTCAATTTTAAAATTATAAATTGATAATAGAATGCTTTTAATGTAATAAAAAATTAGATATGTATATTTTCTGCCGTTGGTCAGCTTTGTTAAATTTTACTTATTCTCATTTTTATCAATTTAAGCACGGAAAATTGAAAATTCATTCAAGCAATATAGAGCATTGAAATGCCTACAACTTGAAATATTATGATTCACGCAACTTATTAATAATAAAAAATTATGATTTCGTGAAACTTAGGACCATTTAAACTTGAAATTACTAAAATTACTTATGTAATTTTATAATGTATATGACATGTGTATCAAACTTATAACCTTATTAGTCTCATTAAATTAACAAAAACATTCAACTCATGTATTTTTTAAAAACAACCCACACTTTTTATTTTGTATTTAATTAAGTTCCAATTACTCAAACAATGTTCTGACTCTACCATTGCATCAAGTCCAATTCAACTCTTACATTCAATGTTCGTACGCCATTGGTCGAGGATTTAACCACTTGCATGAGTTCATAGAGTAAATGCTGTTTTCAGGTTTAGCCTTAACTTAATCACAAATGACGTTGGTCCAATATACCAAAGGATGCACAGGGACCGGACCGGGCCAGGCTTTGGGCCAAGACGGGGCGGGATCGGGACTAAAAATTTCAGGCCCGGGACCGGTCTGAGTTTGTATCCGGACCACCCGGGCTTAAACAGTACCGGGTCGGGACCGGGCAGAGACGGGCCTGGGCAATAAAATAAAAAAAAGTGCAACAGGCCCGGGACCGGCCGGTTCGGGCTTAAAAAAAGAGCCCGAAGCCCGCCCTTATAGAAACCGGGCCGGGACCGGGACTAACAGTGCCAGAATCGGGCCGGGCCCAGGTCGGGTGACCCGTCCCAGTCCATCCCTAAATATACCTGCCCTGCCATGAAATCAGGCGTGGACTCGGGCTGGGCCAGGTCCGGGTCGGGCCTAGGCCCGGGCGGGCCGCCGGTTCAGGATTGCTGGAACCGGGACCCGACCGGGCCTCCAGTTTTTTTTTTTGCTTTCCTAACCCCCCTCACCCCCACCCCCCCCAAACCCCTCCTAACCATCAAGCCCAACCCGAGTGGAACCCCAAAAATTGGGGGAAAAAAATCAATTTGGCCCGGACCCGGGCCCGACCCGGCCGGGCCGGTTCGCCAAATGTGAGACCCGAGCCCGGACCTGCTCCCGGGCCTAGGCCCGACCCGGACCCGAGAACCGGGCTGGTCCCGGTCCCGCACAGTTGCGGGCTGGTCCCGGTCCCGCACAGTTGCGGGCCGGGCCGGGTGGCCCGACCCAAGTCCACCACTACATGAAATGTGAGATATAGGATGTTTTCTTTTGGACTGAAATTTGCTGGTCTGGTCTGGTCTGATCTGGTCTGGTTTGTATAAGTCTGGTTTGGTCTGAATTGGTTTGGTAAACGTCTGATCTCTGTGTATTTTATAACTATCCAAATCTGGTCTGGTCTGGGACTGAAAACAATCCAAAAGAAAACATCCATAGTGCCGTCGAAGCGTCGATCTTGGTGTCACCCCAGGTTGGCAGGTTATAAGAAATAAAAAAAAAATCGGTACCTTAAAAAATGTTTATTTTACATAGCATTGTCCCCTTTTAGGCACAAACCAGCGCATAGCAATTTTTAGAAAAGAAATGTTTCGATTTTCATAAACATGGTTTTATTCTAAAATTTTTATGTTATGCACTATCTCAGGAAGAAATCAACCAGAAAATTCCAGTCATTGAAAATGTTCAAGGTGTGGGAACCACGTGGTAAAAGAAGCCATATTGGCTTGTTTTCTGTCTCAGATAGAACGAACCCTACCTGTTTCATGGGACTTTTTTCCCTGATATTTGGTTTAGAGAAGAAATAGAGGGAAATGTGAGAAAGAGATCAATAGGAAAATATGGTAGGTTTTGTGTGTTGTTTGGTCGGGGAGACAAATGAAGAAGGAATTGAGAGAAGAGCTAGGTGTACACATTTGTACACAAAATGTGTATAACAAGCATTTTTCATTGAGAGAAAACCAACTTTCTCTCTGTTCCCCTATCCATTCTTAAGAGAAGAAAAAGATGCGTGGACCATAAGGACCCACTATTTGCATTTCACTCCTATCAATTCTTCCTCTATTCCTCTTTCCCCTTTTTCATCACATTAATCTCTTATATTACCCCAAGGAGTCTGAAATAGAAGAGTCATCACAACAGCTTTTTAGGTTGAACATTACTTTGTACATGTGCTTCTACCATGTTTTTCAACCACTAAAATTAATGTGGTCATTTCTGTAAACAAACAAAAAGTTAAGGTCCAAAATCCAAATCCTACCAGAGAATTTCCCCATTAAATTGTTCTACACATTCTCTAGCTTAGCAAGTACAAAACCTCTGTTGATATGCATTTGTCAAGCTTAACCATTCCCAAGCATCAAAGCCCGTCAGAGTTCAGAAATTAAAAGCTTCTTTGGCTCAATATAGGGTGACCTCACACTGTCCTCGGAGGCACTCCCTGAAGAGTTTCCTGATTCTGGTTGTTGGAAGCAATTGTATTTGATCAATACATACATATGAAATGGAACTACAGAATCTGGGTCAATAAGGATCTGTTTGGATAGACTGTTTTGGAGAAGGTAGCTTTATATCTTGGTAAGTTACGAGTGTTTCTAGAACATACAAAGGGTGATTAAAAAATATTATGATCACATATCATGTTTACCTTTCAATTTTTACAAAGTCTCAAATATATATCAGAGTATGAGCATAATCATCCAAAGCTTTCGCCTCCAAACCCCAAGGGCTTCTTTGGTTAGGGATTTCAGAGAGAAGGGGGAGGGCTGATGTTTATTTTCAAAATTATTTCTACATTTAGATGGTTGAAAATAAAGTAAAAATAAAAAAACAATGTAGAATAGATCATATAGTTATATGTCTACCTTCTAATGTATAGCTAACAAATGGAGATAAACAAGTGAATTGAAAAAAAAATCGTCCCCTCAGCTTTTCCCTTGAAATCCCTCAAACAAACAAGCTTAAGGGTCTTTTGGAAGTCAGTAGCTTGATGACTAGAATTTTCTAAAATGCAGAATATATGGTAGAAATGTGACCAATCCACTTATATTAATTTCAATTATTATAAAAGTTCAAATATATAACTTTTCCCTTCAAAGCCTCCAAAATCCTACATCCAAACAGACTCTAAGAGATTATATAGAATGGAATGGATTTTGCTCTTACCACCAGAAGAAGAATAACTGCTGGAGTTTGACGTAGTTGAGCTATTTGTTCCACAAACATCATCCTTCTCAATCTCTACTGTGGGAAAGTCACTGTTCAGAACTTCCTCCCCAATGTCAACTTCCTCTTCTTCAGCATCATCCCTTTTATGCTGTGGGATGGGCACACCTTTTGGGAGCTGATATTTTAAAACAACAACACCATTAAGCCAATCCAGGAGAAGACATTAAAGCAAACTAATCAGGAAAAACAGCACTAATTTTACCTCACTAATGTATTGCATCTTCACATTGCCTAAGGAGTTCTTCTGTGAGTTCACAAACCTGTCTAGCTCCCAGAGTGTGTCATTATCAAGAACTTCAATATCAAGATCAATCTCACCACCCTCCTCTGGCAAAGAAATATTTCTCTTCATTATAATTTGCAGCGCATGTTCCATCTTTTCTTGTGGAAGGTTCTGCAAGCTCAAACCTAACTTCGCCTTCTCTTTAAAAGTCATATTCCTTTTGTTCTGATCCTTAACCACAGGCCTTAGCATCTTTCCAGATATGGGTGATACAATGTGAGGTGGAAAATATTTTAACGCTTGGTTTGAAATTGGAGGATTTACCACCATGGAGTGCAGGCTTGATGGTTTGGATTTTCTGTCAAGGTGATTTTGCTCTTGAGGATCACAAATCATTTTTTGTGGTGCAACAGTCTTAAGCATGTTTTCAAAGTTCTTAAGAAACAATTCTGCCAAGGCATACACTTGTTCCCCCTTGTGATTATAAACCAGAGCGTTGTTGAATGTCAGTCTAACATCCTCTGCGAAATCTTGAGGTGTTGTGTATTCATTCCTGCTCAGTTTTGATTTTACAGTACCGAGATCCATTGGGTGCTTGATGATGAGATTGTAATCGTGAAGCTTCAAACTTTTGGCATCCACAGGTTTGTTAAAAATATATGCATGCTTTCGAACCATCAGTTTGTGCAATATCAGTTTGCACCTATTCATCACTATCTGATCACTGATCTTTGAGCCCTTCCTTTTCACAGCCGGCCGCTTGCAATCTCTGTATGAAGTGAAATTGCATCCTCGCTTTGTCCCTGAGGGTTTATCGAGCGTACCCAGCTCATTTCCGGCATTTAGTGCTTGCTTCTGATTCAGATTATTCAATGCATAATTCTGACTCACTTGAAGACATGGCGGTAGCATAGGCGGCACTGGAAGTTTCGGAGCAGCTTTTCTACACTGAGAATCCGAGGGCGGAGGTCCATATTCCAGCTCTCGAGTCTCCATCCGCTTCAGAACGCGCCGAACCCTAAACAGATCAGAAGCTATGCGTTGTTTCAGCTCATACAACTGCATTCTGGAATAGGAGGCCAGATTGTAAGCAACATATTCTTTCCGGAACAAGTCTCTGCAGCCGATGATAGCACCAGGCGTCCGAATGGAAGGCCGTGCTCTGTCAGCACCCATGGGTTGCGAGCAAGACTCTGGAGCAGGAACCGGCAACGGACCATTAAAGTGCTGCCACTTGAAATTTTTGCTCGAATTATCATGGCGGTTGAAGTTGTAGCTGGAGTTAGGGTTGATGAGGCCGGTGAACCAAGGTTTGCTAGTAGGGTTCGCCGGTGCACCACCCCACTGCTGTCCGCTTCTGCCGGGAAACACAGCCGACGCCATAGAAGGAAGGAGAGAAAGGTGGAGGTGATTTGTGGAAGCTATGCTGAAGAGCTAAGGCTATTCTCCGGCCAGAGAGTGGTGGGAACACATTATGGAAATGCGGGAGAACGCATCATCCGCCGGTCGGAAAAGTGAGTAAATAACGGGGTGTTATTTACAGGGCCGAGGCCGGAAAACGCTCTGCACCGGTCCGTCACCGGAGAGTTGCACGATGACAGAAGCAGAGCACACACATGACACACCATGCTTTAAACGCCAAAAAGTTTGCCCGGTTCTGTTTCGGGCAGCCTTGCCCGAGTTACTGACCACGATCGAACGGCAGGGATCCGTCAATATACACATGGACGGATAATTTATCGAAAGAAATGAATATAATTCAAAATAATTATTTTCAAATGTAGACCTGTTCCCAAGCTTTTGAAATCACAAGAGAATTTTCAATTTGTCCCTCCCTTTCATAAAGCACTTTCACTTTCGATTATTCGAGTGAAAATGGTGACTTTCATCAAATGAGCATTAATGTAAGTTTTGGAACCCAAGATAAGGTCATGGGCCGTCCTAATTGTTTAGCGCTAACCAGTTTGGGTGTGGAACCCGTCCTAAACTATAATGTGTTTACCAATAATTTACATGTAAACATGTTCATATTTTGTCAAACATTAATTTACAAGTTATTAGTATGCCTATATTGATCTCATTTCCAGTGATAACAAAGAGTGTCTAGTCGTAAGAGTGTAAATTGGCATTTTTTTCCTATTCAATTTTTAATGGTAAAATCGAATAGTAAACTTCACATTTGAGTCGGTTTGGTTTATTTAAGTTGATTTGTTTCATTTTTTGACAAAATTAGCATATTTTGACCATTTTCAATTGAGTAAATTTACTCACTTCACAAATTCAAAGACATAAAATGAACCTAGAGTGAGGTCAGATTTAATTTGGTCATTTTTTATTTTGTTCGACTTCCGATAAAAAAGTCTTTAGTATGGATAAATTTGTTAATTACCCGACCAGATTTGTGATTGAGTAAAATTACAGTATTAAAAACGGACATAACCTAAAGTTATGAAATTATATCTATAATTTTCTCTAAATATATATTACTCCGTAAAAGTTATTTAATCATCATTAAAGGATAGAAAGGGGGATAAGAGTATATATATGGTAGTATAGGGATGTGATTGATAATGCATCAAATCTCAAGGGATGTCATGATTTCGTTAATAAAAATATGAATTGTATTAATAAAACATAATAAGAATAAGGATAAGATCGAAAATTTACTCCCACATAGTAAATTTATAAGTTACTTCTATTTTTTCCAATTTAATTAATTATTATTTAGAATTTTAGACAGTTTGATCTCTATTGCTTGACATCGATGAATACAACAAACAGTTGGTTATGTCAGTGGACAAACCTCAATGGATAGATCAAGTCTTCTAAGTGTTAAATATGAATCCTGTCAACTAAAAGTTACTATGTAGAAATATATAAAGTCTTTGCAACTACTTGCAGGGCCGTCTTTAGAAGTTTTGGTGCCCCAGACGATTTTTTTTTTCAAAGAAAAGAAAACAGATTTATTTTCTCGTACCTATTAATAGAATCCGTAAAAGATTACATAAGTTCGTTTTTTAGTTTTCTCCATTTGCGATGATGACTTCAGACAAATCACGAGAACTATGTTAATTAATGTAATTGTCTCCTAGGTTGTTTCCTTTATTAATAAATAATAAAAGTTGTTTTTTTATTTTTATGCCAGGAACCTATTCATTTTTTGTTAACGGCTGACCAAGTATAATATATGTGTGTGTGAGAGAAAAAAATAAAAATATATATATATATATATATATATATATATATATATATATATATATGAGAAATCTTCCGATCCAGATGGACTGACCGGAACCGCCGTCCGGTCGCCTCCGGCCATTTGAGCTTCTTTCAGGATGCATATTTTGATAAACTTTGTGGGTATGTTTTTCATGAAGTCTAGATTATATCCATGAAAATTTACCTTAAAGCTCAATCGGAAAGTCAATTAAACACTAGTAAATTATTAAAAAAAAATGTGCCAAAAAATGTACATAAAACACAATGTTTTTCAATAATTTATTTCACTGACTTCCCAATTGAATTTTAAGGTAAAGTTTTATGAGCATAGTATTAACTTCATGAGGAACATGCTAACAGAATTTCATCCAAAAAAATCCACCCAAAAGCATATCAAATGGAGGCGATCGTACAATTGTTCCGATCAACCCTATTACTCCCTCTGTCCCAATTTGTTTTGCAAAGTCAATTTTTTTGGACAACCAATAATAAAAGTCAATCATTCTTATGGATAATTAACTCAATTGTTAATAATTAAAATTTACATATTCATAAACTACATTAAAATCTCTTCAAAGTTGTAAAGTCCAAATTAGAATATAATTAAACATTGACATTCTAATTAAGTAAAAAAATGAAACTGTTTGACGAAGAAAAAGTCAAATTTGCAAATCAATTTGGAATAAAATTAATATAATTGAAGCTTTATTAAAAAATGGTGCCCCATCTAAAATTGGTGCCCTAGGTGCCTTGGCCCTATGGACGGCTCTGACTACTTGATGGGGTCTCACTCACCATTTGGTATATAAGTTCAAATAGTCAAGGTAATATCTATGCAGGGTGCGGTTCGAGCGAAAATGCACATTATGATTTACGGAAATGCACATTTAAGTAATTAAAGTAATGCATAACTTAAATTTGCACTTTTGTAGTTATATTTTTGCAAAGTTGAAATACACTTTTTTCCAATTTTCGATATATACATTTATATTTTACATGATGTATGATACTTAAATCTATTGCTCCATAATTGATAGAGTTGTATTTTTATTATTTATTATTTCTATTTTAACTAGTTTTATTTGTTGTTGTTTGGAAAATTACACACTTTTGGTGTAATTAGTTTATTTTCCTATATAAATGTAATTTGTTTAGATTAGGATTATTTTGAGCTTAAAACAGGTCAAGATCATCCAAAGGATCAAGATTGGACCCCAAAAGATCAAGGAAAGTGCAAGGGGACAAGATAAAAAGAAGATTGAGAAAATATTTCATATACCCGGTCGGGTATAGGCAATACCCGATCGGGTATTGAGTTGATTCGGGTGTCAAAATCAGAATCTGGAGAGATCTGGAGAGACAAAAAAACGTGCAGAATTTTGAAGATTTGGCTCATACCCGATCGGGTATGCCTTCATACCCGATAAGGTATGTCTAGAAAAGTGATTTTCCGGGAAACTGCCTAAAATACCCAATCGAGTACCCTATATACCCGGTCGGGTACACCACCCTGCTACCTCCAAACACCTATAAATACACCCCTTTTCCTTCACAATAAGATCACTCCTTCTTCCATACTCTTAAGCTCAGCTTAGAATAGTTTCTTTTATATTTTTATAGCATGTTTAGTCACCAAATGAGGAGCTAAACTTCCATTTCTTGGTGTTGCTCTTGAAGCTTGTTGATTATTAAAGTTGTGAGTTATTTCCTTAACTTCTTTCCTTGAATATTAATGCTTCTCTTAAATACTATTTCTATATCAATGTTGGGGAGTGTTGCTAAGATGACAATTAGTTAACATCTTGACATTGGTCTTAGTAATAGCTATTCCTTCCTCTATGTTAATATTGGGGAGTGTTACTAAGATGACAATTAG